ATTTTTCAAAATAGCCATGAGTTGCAAAAATATTGATAATTTAAATTCCAGTGACAAATTTCCTCTGCTTGTTCATATTTTTTGGCATCAAAATTAAAAGAAAGGGCATCAGAACTTAGTATAATTCTTGCAAAAGTCAAATCAATTTAAAACAGTGACATGCCAACTACAGCAGTGGCGTTCTGCCTCTGACCTGTGTCATCCAGCCCATGGGGCTCCCTAGGGATCTGGAAATTTGGTAGCAAGGAAACAGTGGCAGTATTAATCACTAGTCCCCTACCAAATTTCCAGACCATGAGGAGCCCTGCCATTCAGATAACACAGACCTGCATGCTAGACTGTGCTGGCACATGGTGGGACCAGAGCACATAGTCATTCCGTAATCCAAATCCAGTGCATAGGGTTGGGTCAGCATGCACGGTCAAGCTGGTATACCAGGCTGCACCCAAAGACTGACTCCACATGCCAACCCTGCACCAAGTCAGCAGTTTGAGCTGCAGTTTTCCAGAAACCCCTGAACCTATCTCCTTGAAACTTGGCAGGCTTTGTGGCCTCAGTAAGAGCTACCACCCCCGCAGTTTTCACCCCATAGTGGCTTAACACACATGTGACATGAGTTTTCCTTTCAGGAATTTGAGGTGCAGTTTCCTAGAAACCCCTGCATCTATTACCTTGAAACTTGGCTTGTGTCATGCTCTCAGCAATGGCTACTATCCCTACAAGTTTCATCTGAATCAGCCAAAAGATGACAAAGTTATAGATATTTCATTGATTCCCCTTTATAATCTATGATCGAATCTCCGAATCAGCTCCGAATCTTCCGAAGTGATTCAGGCGAATCAAATCAGAAAAACAATTCGGATCTCCAAATTGAATCTCTGGCATCCGAATTGGCCAAATCTGAATTTAAATCAAATAGTTCCCTATTCGCACAGGCCTAGAGGTTACACCTTGGAACCTAAATAGGTTGTTGAATCTCCATCCTTGGAAGCTTTTAAAGAGCAAGTTAGACCAACACTGGTGCAGGGGACTTGGAAAAGATAACTTTCTGAAGTCCCTTCCAACCCTACATTTCTTTGATTCTCTTGTTCCTGGAGTGTGCTTTTGGATAGGATGACCTTCAACTTCATTGTATGTACTAAGATGTCATTTAAAGGATCCAAGCAGTATTAAAATTCCATTGTACCAATCACTGGAAAAATATTATTAAGAATAATTCTAGCCCAAAAGAGCATTTACAAACAAACTTTTAATTACTAGTATTGCACCAGCAATAATCATAGCAGGTCTTCAAAGGAATCTATTTCAAAGCACATAGAAGAGAGCAAAGTAATCAGGAGCAGCCAGAATGGATTCACCAAGAGCAAGTAATGTCTAAGCAACCTGACTTCCTTCTATAATAAGCTGACAGGCTATGTGGAGGGGGGAGAGAAGTGGATGTGATAAATTTAGACTTTAGTAAAACTTTTCACATGTGTATCCATGATATTCTTATTAACAAGATAAGGACATGCAGACTAGGTGAAAGCACTATAAGATGGATTTGGGACTGGTTGGATCATTGTGCTCAACAAGTAGTCAGCAATGGATCAATATGTAGATGGGAGGAGGTATCATGGGGGGGTTAGTATTGTGGGTTTCACGGGGGGGTGGGTTTAGTATTGGGCCCCACGCTTCACTGTGCTCAACAAGTAATCCGCAATGGATCAATATGTAGATGGGAGGAGGTATCACTGGGGGG